AAATTGCCCTTGAATTAGGAATTAATACCGCAACGCTTTCAAAGGTTTAAGCAGAGAATCTGAGCTCAAAGACTCCGAGGTCTCGGACGACCTCCTGCTGTTGACCACGATATATAAAAGTCCTGGCGGAAGAAGATCCACGAGCAAGGGTGCGAGAGCCTTCTATTCTACTATGCATCCAAAGCACGTAGTGATCACTTTTCGAAAGTCTGCGAGGTGGTTAATTCATCACAGCTCCCTGAATCCGTGTGGAACCATCACGGCGACAAAGTATATTCGGGCAATCTGTGGAATGCACCCGGCTCTAGCCATCGGAAGAAGGCCCCCATTTCTGCACGACTCCGGACCACGCAAAGTATGAACGCAGTCTGACGATTACCAGTGGTGCGTCTGAGCGAGTTTGAGAGCGAGCGTCTACATTCAGCAAACCGGACAGAAAAAACCATAATCAGTTCACCCTGATAGCTGAGTGATGTTACAAAGTGAAACCTTCACGAAGGAAGGTTCATTTTTAGCTAGTCAACCCAAAATGTGGCCGTGTATCGTTCCAAACCGCTTCTCAGTACATTATCTATGGTTGAGTGCTCTCTTTACCCAGGTACCTGGCAAACACTCTCCCCCTTACGATATTCAAAAAGTTTTTTTTCAGTTTTTGATTACGGTTTGTACTAAGAAAGCTCAACAAAAGAAAAAGGTACGATTTTTCTGATCGGAATCGTGCACAGTTTTTGGGAGACGGTTAAGTGAATGTTTCTGAATAGGACAGAGAAGCTAGAGGGGTCTAACTCTGCATCAAGTCTGATCGTTTGATTAAGCAAGGTCTAGATTCGAGGGGTATGTGGCAAGAGAATCGCAATTCGTCGCGCCAGTGGGCGTCGCGTGCGACGTCGCGCCCGCTAATGACGACGATTTTAGGTGGTGGTCGAGAATAGACAATGTATGACCAAAAATAGACATAAGTGTCCACCATGTCCTTGTCTACATAAAATCAAATGCTCCTTCGAAAGGGTATTGCAAACTAAAGAAACGTCGCGCCCACTGCGCGCGCGACAAAGCGGCAATTCACGATTCTCTTGCCCGTCTCTCAGATTTGAACGGGAATCGATCAAATCATAATACTTATCCGCTACACTATCAGAACTTCGCGAACGAAACTCTTTCGATGCAAATCAATGCACTCAACGTTAGCCGAAAGGATGCTCTGTAGCTCGGATCCACTCTGCAGGGTTTGGAGGGGGCCATGTTATGCCACGTCTGCTCGCATGCACCCTTTCACCAGGGGGCCAGCATGACATGTTCTGGTCCAGTCAGGTCGGAACATTTGCCTCGCGGCACCAGCAGCATGTCAATCGAACATAGTCGGCGTAGAACATGCGTTACTGATTATTTGAGGCCGTCGCTTGAGGACTGATTTTTTTAAGCACAAAGCCCCGCAAAAAGCATTTTAAACAACAGCAAAGTCGATATTATAGGCGCTACGTGGCTGCGTCTGCTCTCTTCGTCTCACCCGCCCGCTTTACCGCGGTCTTGCTGGCCCCCCCCCCCAGCCAAGCAAAGCATGGCAGGCAAGCATAAACATGCATCCGTACTGTCAGCCTGCGTGTAACCGCCCGTAAAATACCCCTTAAAAGGGAGAGTAAATAAAGGATAAAGTCTTCGCCGTTGATCAATCCCTTTGTGGGATGCGGCACGCATTCTACTTCCATTCGTAGTGGCTTATTGAATGCGATGTGGCCTATACAATGACTTGCGGTGGCCAGCCGATGTACAAGTCAGTGTTTTATCCTCCCAGACGAATCTGGTACCAATTTACCGTCCCCGGAGGGTAGAAGGCTTGGTTGGCCTGGGCGGGAGTCGACCCGGGATTCGAACCCGGCGCCGCGCGAGTGGTAAGCGCGCCACTTGTCACTACACCACCTCCGCCTCCCTAACTACCTTAGCCTCTAATAAACATCACAATGTCGGTAGCTATCTCACGATTTTTGTCCATCTTCTACTTGCTTTTTAGGAACCACCTCAAGAAAAATTAGCAGGACCTAAAGGCAACGTTTATTTTCTGTCTCTTACCTACAGCTCAAGAACACTCATGACACGCCATTTTCAGAAGGAGGGAGCAACGCCAGTAGTGATGGTTCAAAAGAGAGCAAAGAACATAAACAACAAGATAAAGAGCTTAAAGTTAATCGAACTCAAGAGTCGATAGAAAAACCACCAAGCGTGGAACCGGCTGGATATGACATGAAAAATGTGAAGAAATATGTCGAAGGGCAAAATAGTCCAGTCAAAACAGATGTAAGCAATAACACTTATTTCATAGTACGATCCCCCGACCCAACACACCGAGACGTGACCTTTTTTAAAGGCTGTGGGTACCTTGTTTCGGCCACGAGTGCGAGAAGTGGTCTGAAAGGACCATCAATGAACAAAAAGCAGAGGAAAGTGCAAAAACCACAAAACGGGACCTTCATTCTCGCAGTTCAGAACCTAACGCGATAGCTGGCACCAGGCAGTCAACTACTCCCTGAGTACTGCCTGAGGACAAAGTAGTGGACAAATCTACCCCAGAAAATTACGGTTAAAATCTAGCGAAAATTCCGAAAAGTGGGGCGGTAAGGAGTGAAGAATGTCGCATACAGTGTTCTGTAACAAAAACGCGATGAGTGAAGTGTACTTTCAGCTGAGGTCCGTAAAAGATTTGAAATTCGAATACAATCCGAAAAAACCGATCGGAGACGTCAGAAGCAGTACCACACCTGTACAGGTAAATCTGGCATATTAAAGCCCCGAATTCCTCCACATCTATGTCGAGAACTAGCGTAGAGGCTCACTGTTCCTTCCCCCTCCCCTCCCTAGAAAGTAGGGAGAGCTTTTCTGTTCACCAATCCATGGGGAGTGGAGGGGGGGGGGTGTTCGTGACATCTACCCTCAATGAGTCGTAAACTACAATATAATTTTCAGATGGTGTGGCTTGCCTCAGTTAAGGCACACATAGGACCACAAGCTCCATTTACGACTATTCCTTGGGTAACCACTGGTACCGGTATACCATAGCCGTATGCGAGCCAAGCCCAGTTCTGCTGCGTGTTCCTTCTCTGGAGCACAAACTTACACTCACAACCAGCGACCCCCCCCCCCTTCACTCCCCATGTGGGAGGTGAAGGAGTCCGCAACTGCAGTAGCCCGTAACTTTCTCAGGTCAGAAGTGCACGGGAATGGGGCTGGGAGCTTGGGATACCCAAATGGCGTTTCTGTACTTCGCCCGCGGTGCCGCAGAACCAGTTGACGCCTAGGCATAGTCAAACCCATTGCTGGCCTGTTCGATAAGCTAGCTGTACAGCTACTATACGCCTGTTCTTCCCTTGAGAAGGTGGACGGACTATACAAGGGGAAAGGACACAGGGGGCTAGCTACTACTTCTGTGACTAACTGAAAGCCATGTAAGGACCGTTCCAGCTAGCAGAGGAGCAGCGTACTCAGATGATTGTAGTCGATCGTCCTGAAGACCGTGAACTGACCCTCTTGGCGCCAAATCCTTCAAAGTCACCGGTAAGTTTTATACCTAATTTGTTGTAGGCACATTCCACGATGATGGAATGGGGCGGAGACAGATAACCACTGTGCCTTCCTCGAAAAGCGCCTTTCCCTACGAGGACGACGCAAAGGAAGTGCCGGTCGACTGAGGAGCTGTCTCCGCTGATACGATCAGTGCCGAAGGTTCTTTTATATTACGAATCGATCGGCGCTGTTTGGCGATGGGGAGGGGGAGCATTTTGCACTTCAACGACTTCCCATCGACGTGTCGACCCATCTAGACAGCCTCTTCTCGAGTTGACAGGTTTTACCATGATGGCTTGACGAGCTTGCTCCAGCTTCACAAGAGTTCACAGGTTTCACCAGAGTGAGACTTGTAAACCAGAACTAGTGAAGCAACGAAAGTGCAAAATGCCTCCCCCCCGTCGGCAAACTGCGCCCAATCGATCTACCACACCATTGGGGGTCTCTGCAATGTTAACTTTTTGAAATTGAAGCGGGTGTTTCAGAACCCAACTAAAAGTCCGCTGCCTACGATATCACTCTACGATCCACTGTGTGGCGGACAAAAGGTATAGTCCTACTTGTCTCTGTACCAGCGTTATGTGCGCACTATCACGCTTTTGTTTAACAACCTGCTGAGGCCGTTTAGCCTTCCGGGCAGAAGGCATCGTTGCGAAAACACACTCCACACTTTCAGAACACTAAAATGTTTCTGCTCAAAAAGCTCCGTGCCCTTGGGATACTGAAGAAATGTCCTCAGAATCTACCAGATCCCCACATGTATACCACTTTTTCAGGTGAATTTGGAGAAGCCAGTGGAGAATTCCCCAGCTTGAAATCTTCCGCTTTCTGCCATATAATTTTTCTACAGAATAAAAAAAACACTATTTGAATAAACAGTTTAGATGAACAATGCCTGGCGCCCTCAATCAAACTATTAAAGATTCCAAATGTAACTGAGTTACAGAAGAA